CACCAAGTCCCTTCAACGAGGACGTTTGTTTCCATCAACATGTGTCAGCTAAGATTTTTTGCTGCACCTGCAGTACACACACACCTGATAGAGGAGGACAAGTAGGCTCCCTAAATGATTGTCTCTCGTGTAAGTGAGGCAGGATGTAAATGTGTGTATCACAGCACAAAGGGCCAGACAGTGTGTTCTGGAGCCCATAAGGTGTGGCAGTGTTTCATAAGGGCAGAGGTATAAATGACTGGACAGGTACAAGGCAGGGCAAAATCAGGCCCAGAGAATATCACTCTGCAATAGACTCAAGGAATTGTTACCATTGGAGCTTTGTTGTCCTCCTTTTCTATAGAGGCAGGACAAATGGTACAGTCTTAGGGCTGGAGTCTCCTCTCACACCAGCATTACATCGGTGTAACTCCACTGACTTCTGTGCTCCTGATTTACACTGGTCTAAGTGAAAGGAGAATCAGGCCTCACTGCCCACACATAGAAAAGCTGGCTTCTAAATTTCCACCGATGATAATAAAATGATTTAAGAGTCACACTGCTGGGGCAAATTTCATACAGGGATGAAAGATATTTAATTTGCAGAACATAAAAACAGAAGTCCCATTTCCTTTCTAGATTCCTTTTCATTAATATTTTAATTAAAACCCATCTTCTGAACAGACTGCATTAATGCAGAGTGCCTTGCAAATAGTGCACCAGATTAAATATAGCCAGCAGTGCTAATTGCAACCTAGTAAGCCAGTGAGGCTGTGGAAAGCTGTTAGTAATGTTAAAAATAGAGAAATCTATTCTTAGAGTGACAGCATGAGGGGAAATGGCTTCTACCTATGAAGTACAAAGATAGAACAAATGTTAGGCACTTACACTGGCAACCGGCTACATTTAGGCTAGTGGTGCAGAGATATATGCCAAAGAATCATAAACATTAAAAATGGAAATGACCCCTTAGGTCCCATGCAATCAAGCCTCCTGTCCTGGCCAATGCAGAACTGTTCTCTACAGCATATGTTCTAGTGATTTCTCCAGCCTAGTTTTAAAAGTCTCTGCCACTTCCCTTGGAAAACTATTCCACAGTCATAGGAGAAAATCCTGCCCCCTCCACCATAGCTGTAGATGGTCCTAGATGCAGCACAATTCTGCGGCCAGCGAGTGGAGACAGAATTTGGGGCTCTTCCACAAGGGATCTGCAATCACTGTGCATGCTCCCTGCCTGTCCCCATGCAGCAGGGTTCAAGGGATGGGTTAGAGGTACACAGAGTGGTTAGCAATTGCTCCAGCAGAACAGGGACTGAGGAACAGCAGAGAACTCTAGCCTGGGGAAGGTTCCTTTTCTCTCAAACTTCTATGGAGGAACCCTGTATCAAATGCAGCTACTCAGGTTTTGCAGGCGGGAGAATGTAGCCATTAATGAGCTCGCAGACAGGATGATTTTCTCTGATATTCAGCCTAAATTAGCCTTCCCTTAATTTAATCCCATATACCTTGCTTTATCTCTTTGTACCGTGCTAAGGAATTCCTTTCCTCCCTTCATATTTACATCTTTCAGATAGTTCTAGACAGTTATATCCTACCTTAGCTATTGTCACTTAGCCATTCTGTGCAAATGTAGATATTTGATTCTGTCTGCATAAATCAGTCCTGCCCATCCCTCAATCATTTCTGTTGTTCTCTCTAATTTTCCTCCAGTTTTTTTCTACATTTTTCTTGTAGTGACCCCAGAATTTGACTCAATATTCCACTTGCCATCTCACCACAGTCATACAGAGAGGGATTATAAATTGACTCTTCCATATTGCAATGTCTTTGCAGCGGTAGTCCAAAATTGCACCAGCCTTGTTTGCTGCCATATATTGCAAACTGAGCTCCAGTTTGCTCCCCACTGCAATCCCAGCTCTCTCTCTCTCTCTCTCTCTCTCTCTCAGAGATTACTCTTTTCCCGGTTTACTTAAGAAAACCCTCTTCATTACTTGGAAAACATTTTTAGAACATGAAGATGAAATATCTTTCTCCAAAGACCTCCGTCTGCCTTTAGCAAACACAGTATTTTGCTCTTTTTCTAGCACAGGTTTTTTATTTACTTATCTGCATATGCACCATCATCAGAATTTCCAGTACCTGTGCAACACTGAGAACAGTGCTGATTAGTTAGCTGCAGTTGCTGAATCAGCAGAGGGTGCACACACCCACTGTGTTCTCATGTGTCCCACCAAAAACAGTGGCTTTTAAAAATATTTCTTGGTAATGGAGTGTTGGATTTAAAAAAAAACCAAACCTGACTCAATAAATGACTTTAACCAGCCATCCATAGGCCACAATTTTACAGACAGTTACATGCAGGTGGACCTGTGTCTCGAATGGAGCCCAATTAAGTCAACAGGGCTCCATACAGGCCCCAAGACATACTTATTGCATGCCTCTGATCCAATGCTCAGGAAACAAGAATGGCAGCATTAGTAGTAAAGATCATCAATTATTTCATGCTTTGAATTCCCACTCAGTCCTGCCCCTGTTTGAAACTGACTCACTTAAGGGCATGTGAAATTAGGTGGCCTGACAGGATTATCCTGAGACACATATGAAAGCTTAGTCAACATAGCTCTGCCAATGAACCTCAGACCAGCACTCCTCGCTATGCCAGTCTTGGCTACCCACGCAGCCCTGCTAAGACACTTCCACCCTGGCCTGTGGCACCCCTTCCTGTTGCAATCTTGAGCCACTTCTGAATAAAAAATACCAGTTGCCCCAGACCAAGGTGTTTTTGTGATTGTGTACAGAATTCTGAGGCCAAACTTGTTTTCACTTTTTAACTCAGGCTTCCTGAGTTGAAAATCTAGTCAGCTATTCCTCCGCCTCACTGTATAAGCCCCCAATCCTGAATTCTCGGACTCTCCTGCTGAAGAACACTCTCCATCCTTGTATACTGTGTTACACAGAAACATGGAATTCTACAAACTTGAAGCCTTCATCAGTGAGCTGAGTCCAACAAATTCATTTCACTTTCAACTCCAGACTGAACCTCACCACAGTCTCAGGGAGTTTATTATTTTAAACAACCCAATCCCCAGCTAACCAGCTTCAGAGTCTAAGTGGACCAGTATGGCACTCACAAGGATGATGAACATTTAGACAGGCATTCTGGACATCATAATCTAGTTCTTCCCTACCAGGCTCATAGGCAACAGAGTAACTGCACAGTGTTATAACTTATCAAGCATCTTCCGTGTACATGGTGGTGTAGAAAACGTAGAGGAAGATTCTCTAAAGAGTTTACTTACATTCCAGATATTAAACCATGAGCCTTGTCTTCAAATTGAACAGGATCATAAAGGGTTTTCTCCTGCACCCAGCACTCTTAAGGATTGCTGAGTAAGATGCTCGGGGAACAAGAAGAAGAATAAAATGCCTCACAATCAATTCCAACAGGCCATTTTCTCAATCTGTTTCTGTAAAAAGAAACCAGGTTGTTGCTTCATGTTAACTATCCCATTAATGTTAATTTACTTAGTATGTATTGCAATTGTGCTTCTCAGAATGAATTATTACACCTCACGCTGTATGTTGCTCTGTGGTATTGTATTGCTAACAGACACACAAACAAACAAAAAATACTTTAAAATGGGATTTCTCCTGACCCCTGAAATTTCTAAAAGCTTTCTGTTCCCAGAAAACCAAGGCACTGTACAGTGGCAACCTTATCACCGCCCGGCTGGAGAACTGTAGTGTTTGAGTCCTAGAATAGAAGATTTTATTTCAAAAAGATGCAGGCTCCAGATTGTACCAGGGTAGAGAGAGGTAGTGGGGCAAGGTCTGTGTAGCTTCAAAGTTTGTTTCTTTCACCAACAGAAGTTGGTCCAATAAAAGATACTACCTCACCCACCTTGTCTCTCTTTCCGGGACCAACATGGCTACATCACCACTGAATCTCTATTGTGATTCAGTAAGAGAGCTATAATGAAACTACAATCTCTGCAGTTTCTGTGTCAAGTCAGGTACAATACAATAAATTCTGATGGTTGGTTGCTGATTACCCGAGTAGTCTCACTGGCTTCAGACCCACAGAGCCAACCTGGGAAAATAAAACTAATCTCCGCCCAGAGTATACTTATAAAGCAAAAACAAAAACCCGCAAACAAACAAAACTCCCAATTGCAGCTATCCTATAGGCTCAAACAAAAGCCTCAACTTTAGGCTGGAAGAAGCTGCTGACTAACCCCAGCACACGTGCGGCATTTCCTCTCCTAGTGCATCTGAAGGCTAAATTCAATTTTCTCTTGACTGCATCTAGTCATGATGCCTTTGATAGGCAGATAATGCATAGTAGCCCCACTGACCTTCCTGTCAGGCAGGCTCCCTAATACCTAGCATGAATTCCCTTCTTCCTAGCTGGAGGCCATTGCTCTTCTGCCCCCAGCTGTCCGGCATGAATAATTCTGCTGCTTCCCTTCAGCCACTCAGATGTGCTGTTCTCTAAAGTGTGTTCCTACGGGCTGTCTGTACTCCCAAAAAATTCCCACTGAGGATCCCAAGTAGAGATGAAACTCCAGTAGTTTCCAGCTTTTCCCACCTTGTTAATTAAACCTGATGCTTTTAACCATCCTGCTAACATGAATGTACTTTGCCACTGGCTGCATTTGCAGCTACACCGTGCTCGGGACTACCTGAGATGTGCCTGGGGTAGTTTTCCTAGCACTGACAAAACCAGCAGACCCCACTTACTCCCAAACCTTCAGACAGTTGCTAACACCTCGCACCCAATCTCCACCATTTAGCCAAGCTACACAGGGCCCTGTGGGCCTGGTTCCTAAACTCCAACCCCACCACAAACGAGGAGCCTCTTCAAAAATGGGGCTGGACTGGGGAGAAGGGATACCTAGGCTGTTGCCACTACCAAGATGGCGGACTCCATGGCAATTACTGCCACTACCAAGATGGCGGTCAAGACAAGTCAGTAGGCGGGGACAGACGGAGCCCTTTAGCCAATGTCTGGTGACGACCTGGGGGCGCCGTAGCCAATGGGAGCGCAGGGCGGGCTGGTTGGTTGCAGACCCGGCGCCGTCGCTGAGGAGAAGGCGGTTGCGGCGCTCGGCTTAGCGGGGATGGCCACCAGCCCGAGCGGGCGGAGGGGCAGCCGGGCTCTCTCCGAGCTGCTGGGTAGGTGGCCGCCAGGGGCCTTCAACGCCCACGGGCTGCCCCGGCCGGCGGAGCGGGCGCCCGAGGGGAGCGCTCTGCAAAGCGCCGCGTCCGGGTCCCCAGGGGGCCGACCCCGCCCGCCCCGCCGCCGCGGGAGGTGGGCGCGAATCGCTCGGCTCGCCGCCGGGGCGGGGCTCTCCCCGCAGAGCCGTCCCGCGGTTTCCCCGCGCGGGCGGGCGGGCGGGCGCGGCGCCGGGCCCGCCCCGCCTGTGTGCTGGGGCCGCCGGTGGGGGCGGCGTATGGCGGCTTCGCAAGGCTTGAAACCAAAGCGAGGTGGGCGCTGGTCCTTCTTCCGTCTCTCCCGCCGCCGGCTCTGCCTCGCTTCCTGAGCGCCACCTTTTCTGAACTCTTTATTCCCCCAATCCCTAAACGGCCCCCTCAAGGATTGAACTCACAACCTTGGGTTTAGCAGGCCAACGCTCAAACCGCGGAGCTATCCCGCCCCCGCCCTCCTGGGGTTGGATTCATGTGGAGATTCAATTCAAAGTAACCCTAAAACTGTCTCTGTCAGTCTTGCTGTCGCTAGTGCAGAAGGTGTTTTTGCAGCACCTGGAACAACCCGCCTGTCTCATTTAAAAATAATAATCTTATAGTCCTCGTCTTTGTCTCTGTTTTGGCACAGTTGGCAGTTTCTGTGTAAAGGGATCTGGTCCGGGTTAAGGAGAAGCCTTGGGGATCAGAGGGCAGACTTGGGCAGAGCTGTAGCATTAGCCCACACTGTGTCTGGCTCTTGCCAATGTCAACCATTCCTTTTCATCAGCACAACATTTATGCATTCTAGGAATAAAACCGCAGAAAACAGGCCGTTTAGTAAACCTTTAGTTTATTTATTTTTTTAAAATTTCTTAGCAGGAAGAGTCAAGAAACAGAAATGCACATTTGACAGTGGACAGGAGTTTCAGAAAGCAGCTGTTCACCTTCTGAGTTGCCATCAGAACTTGAATGACCTCTTGCTGGAGGTAAGACAGCTGGCAGTTTTGAATTTACCAGTCATATCTTGGGTTTCTGTAGAACCCTGCTGAAGTTTGGTCTCCATACAAGTCTTTCAGATATAGGTCTAAGGTGCATGTTGTGTAAGCAGAATATCTTCAGTAAGTGAACATGTGGGAAACCGGTGTAAAAGAAAACTAAAAGACTAGTGGTTTTCCTTTTAGCAATGAGATTTACATTCATTCTTTCTTTTATTACTGTGGCCTAAAAGTGCAGTTAGGGTTATACAGAGCTAATTAAGATTTGAAATATGGTGGTGTGATGTTCCCCTCTGGTGTTATCTGGACCGGTGATCTGCTCAGCCACTCCAATCCTTGTCTCTGGGAGCCAGCCTTACCCTGCTCTGCTGTGAGATCCCCCACTCCTGGGCTGTTCACGCACAGCCTCTGGCATATAAGCTGCTCCTTGGATTGTGCAACCCAATGACACTAGCTAATATCTCTGGTCCCAGACACAACCCTAGGAACCTCTGTCTTGCAGTGTCCCGTTATGCCCGCTGGACACTGCAAGCTTATATGAGTTCATCAGTTTAACAAAGAAATTGGTATGTACCAGGCTTGTTATCCCAAGGGTAGCCTCTGATATGCTTTACATCAAACGCACTGCTTCAAATAGAATAAACAAACAAATTTATTAACTACAAAGATATGCTTTGACTTATAATATACGTCGGATTTGGTCAAATGAAATAAAAGCAAAACACATTCTCAGCGATCTTAACACTTTCAGTGCCCTTACAAACTTAGATGCTTCTCACCACAGACTGGCTGATTGCCCTTCAGCCAGGCTCTCCCCTTTGATAAGCGCTTTAGTCGCTTGGTGGTGGTGTCTGTAGATGAAGGTGGAAGAGAAAGGAAGAGTACGGCAAACATCTCTCCCTTTTATCAAATTCTTTCTTCCCTCTTGGCTTTAACCCCTCCACCTTCAGAGTCAGGTGAGCATTACCTCATTGCAGTCCAAAACAGAACAAAGTAAGGGGGGTGACTTACTCCAGAGTCCAACAGATCCTTTGTTGCTGCCTGGGCCAGTGTCCTTTGTTCCTGTGAGGCTGGGCTGGGTTTGTCCCATCCATGCCCTGATGAAGTGTGAACTGCCCCTCTGCTCTTGGAGAGATTTGCCTGGGCCTGTTTTAAGCCATGAGGGCACATTTTCAGCCTCATAACTATATACATGAAATTACAACCTATAACATTACTATAACAACAATGCTCAATGCATCATGAGCCTTCCGAAGACACCTGACATGAAAAACTTTGCATTTGATACCACACAATCATATTATAAGGATGAACCTGGGGTGCAGGGTTTTCCCCTCAGGTACAGAATGTCACAGGTGGTAAATTACCCATCCTCTTTGTTGGGATCAGAACTGGCTTCGTCTATTGCAGAGGTTCCCAAACTTTTTTGCTGAGCCCCTCCTTTGGAGATTCATGTCCCATGCATGCCCACCTCTTTCTAAGAAATGTGGTGGGAGGAGGGGTGCTTGGTACCCTTGGGGGAGGGGTGCCCTGTACTCATGGGGGGTGTGGAGGAAGGGGTACTCACCAGGTTGCAGTTGAAGACTTCTTGCCCTGCAGCGGTTGGGCAGTCTCAGCTGCTGGGACCCAATTTCCTGCTTGTCTGGCTCCCATCCTACTCAGAATAAAGAAATGAGGCCACGTTGAAGAGCCAGGGTCAGCAGGGGAGCCAAAGCCTGTACCCTGTGAGCACTGGGCCATGTACTGACACAGCCCCTTTCTGAACCTGGCCCTTCAGTATGGCACTGTCCACTTCCCTTCCATAGGCTCCCTCTAGGAGGGGAATCAGATGTGCCCAGGAGCCATGCTGAAGGGCCAGGGTCAGGAGGGGGCTCTGTCCAGCAGGGGGTCAGCAGTCCTGGGGTGCAGCCTTTGGCTCCCTCCTTGCAGAGTCCCTGCTGGCCTACCCAACAGAGGAGGGTAAGTGCCTGTCAGTGGCTGCTGTAGCAGTGAGGGACTAAGACAGGTAGGGAGCCTGGTCTCAGTAGTCAAGACCACCTATACAGAGTCCAATCTACTTCCCCTACCAGACAGAGCCCCATCCTGACCCTGGTCTTTTAGCATGGCTCGTTACTGATAATTCATCACTCCCTCCCCACCCCGAAAGGTGCACGCCCCGCACTTCGAAAGCCTCTGATTTATAGTGAACAGAGTAAAAAGTTATTGGAGATTATCAGCTTTCTCTTAATAGCCACCCATGATTCCATAATGTGACCGTCTTTATAGACGTGTGAGATACATGCATGCACGTCATGCCAAGTTTCTGACTTCTTGTGAAAAGAAAAGGAGTACTTGTGGCACCTTAGAGACTAACCAATTTATTTGAGCATGAGCTTTTGTGAGCTACAGCTCACTTCATCGGATGCATACCGTGGAAACTGCAGCAGACATTATATACACACAGAGATCATGAAACAATACCTCCTCCCACCCCACTGTCCTGCTGGTAATAGCTTATCTAAAGTGATCATCAAGTTGGGCTATTTCCAGCACAAATCCAGGTTTTCTCACCCTCCACCCCCCCACGCACAAACTCACTCTCCTGCTGGTAATAGCCCATCCAAAGTGACAACTCTCTTCACAATGTGTATGATAATCAAGGTGGGCCATTTCCTGCACAAATCCAGGCTTTCTCACCCCCCACCCCTTTCCCGGTGACACACACACACACAAACTCACTCTCCTGCTGGCAGTAGCTCATCCAAACTGACCACTCTCCAAGTTTAAATCCAAGTTTAACCAGAACGTCTGGGGGGAGGGGAGGGGTAGGAAAAAACAAGGGGAAATAGACTACCTTGCATAATGACTTAGCCACTCCCAGTCTCTATTTAAGCCTAAATTAATAGTATCCAATTTGCAAATGAATTCCAATTCAGCAGTTTCTTGCTGGAGTCTGGATTTGAAGTTTTTTTGTTTTAAGATAGCGACCTTCATGTCTGTGACAGAGAGATTGAAGTGTTCTCCGACTGGTTTATGAATGTTATAATTCTTGACATCTGATTTGTGTCCATTTATTCTTTTACGTAGAGACTGTCCAGTTTGACCAATGTAAATGGCAGAGGGGCATTGCTGGCACATGGTGGCATATATCACAGTGGTGGATGTGCAGGTGAACGAGCCTCTGATAGTGTGGCTGATGTTATTAGGCCCTGTGATGGTGTCCCCTGAATAGATATGTGAGCACAGTTGGCAACGGGCTTTGTTGCAAGGATAGGTTCCTGGGTTAGTGGTTCTGTTGTGTGGTATGTGGTTGCTGGTGAGTATTTGCTTCAGGTTGCGGGGCTGTCTGTAGGCAAGGACTGGCCTGTCTCCCAAGATTTGTGAGAGTGTTGGGTCATCCTTCAGGATAGGTTGTAGATCCTTAATAATGCGTTGGAGGGGTTTTAGTTGGGGGCTGAAGGTGACGGCTAGTGGCGTTCTGTTATTTTCTTTGTTAGGCCTGTCCTGTAGTAGGTGACTTCTGGGAACTCTTCTGGCTCTATCAATCTGTTTCTTCACTTCCGCAGGTGGGTATTGTAGTTGTAAGAAAGCTTGACAGAGATCTTGTAGGTGTTTGTCTCTGTCTGAGGGGTTGGAGCAAATGCGGTTGTATCGCAGAGCTTGGCTGCAGACGATGGATCGTGTGGTGTGGTCAGGGTGAAAGCTGGAGGCATGTAGGTAGGAATAGCGGTCAGTAGGTTTCCGGTATAGGTTGGTGTTTATGTGACCATTGTTTATTAGCACTGTAGTGTCCAGGAAGTGGATCTCTTGTGTGGACTGGACCAGGCTGAGGTTGATGGTGGGATGGAAGTTGTTGAAATTATGGTGGAATTCCTCAAGGGCTTCTTTTCCATGGGTCCAGATGATGAAGATGTCATCAATATAGCGCAAGTAAAGTACGGGCTTTAGGGGACGAGAGCTGAGGAAGCATTGTTCTAAATCAGCCATAAAAATGTTGGCATACTGTGGGGCCATGCGGGTACCCATAGCAGTGCCGCTGATCTGAAGGTATACATTGTCCCCAAATGTAAAATAGTTATGGGTAAGGACAAAGTCACAAAGTTCAGCCACCAGGTTAGCCGTGACATTATCGGGGATAGTGTTCTAGACGGCTTGTAGTCCATCTTTGTGTGGAATGTTGGTGTAGAGGGCTTCTACATCCATAGTAGCCAGGATGGTGTTATCAGGAAATCACCGATGGATTGAAGTTTCCTCAGGAAGTCAGTGGTGTCTCGAAGGTAGCTGGGAGTGCTGGTAGCGTAGGGCCTGAGGAGGGAGTCTACATAGCTAGACAATCCTGCTGTCAGGGTGCCAATGCCTGAGATGATGGGGCGCCCAGGATTTCCAGGTTTATGGATCTTGGGTAGTGGATAGAATATCCCAGGTCGGGGTTCCAGGGGTGTGTCTGTGCGGATTTGATCTTGTGCTTTTTCAGGAAGTTTCTTGACCACCTTGATTACCATGCACATTGTAGGGAGAGTGGTCACTTTGGATAAGCTATTACCAGCAGGAGAGTGAGTTTGTGTGTGTGGTTTTTGGAGGGGGGTGAGAGGGTGAGAGAACCTGGATTTGTGCAGGAAATGGCCCACCTTGATTATCATACACATTGTGAAGAGAGTTGTCACTTTGGATGGGCTATTACCAGCAGGAGAGTGAGTTTGTGTGTGGGGGGGTGGAGCGTGAGAAAACCTGGATTTGTGCTGGAAATGGCCCAACTTGATGATCACTTTAGATAAGCTATTACCAGCAGGACAGTGCGGTGGGAGGAGGTATTGTTTCATGATCTCTGTGTGTATATAATGTCTGCTGCAGTTTCCACGGTATGCATCCGATGAAGTGAGCTGTAGCTCACGAAAGCTCATGCTCAAATAAATTGGTTAGTCTCTAAGGTGCCGCAAGTACTCCTTTTCTTTTTGCGAATACAGACTAACACGGCTGTTACTCTGAAACCTGACTTCTTGTGCATTATCTTGCGCTCTCAGGTTGGAGAAGGCATTTGCTTTTGAGGACTTTTATAGGTAGACCAGGTACTTCCTAGAATTTATTCTCTGGGAACTTTTGTTTTTCTAAGGAGTACTATAGAATAATCACCTTTTAAAAGGAAACTGACTTTTTCTAGTTCCCAACATTTTTTTTGTCACATTTTACCAATGGCATAGTGGAAGGAGCACTGGACTAGGACTCGGGAGACTTGGACTCTGTTCCTGCTCTGCCATGTACCTATTGGGTGACCCTGGGCAAGTTATTTTCCTGCTTTAGTTTCACCATCTGTAAAATGGGGATAATGATACTGACCTCTATAAAGCGCTTTGAGATCTACAGATGAAAAGTACTATATAAGAGCTAGGTGGTATTATTTAACATTAGTTTTATTTCAGTTGCTTCAGATTTCTAGAATGTTGCAGATGGAAGGTGCCATATAAAGGTAATATATTTATATACATGTACACACAGATTTAAAAGACTTTATTTTGTTTCTAGGTGGAGAGTTCCAGTAAATCAACTGAACAGAGTGGTCCAGAGCCTCAAAGTGCTTTTTCAGAATCATTTGTAGGTGAGCGAGGAAGTATCTGTCCGAGAGAGATGGAAATTAAGTTTTCCTGACACAGTGAATTTCTACTTGTCATATGCCCTTAATTTCTTGTTCTCTCTATCAGTCTGCTAGTTTGTTCTTCTCTGAAATAGATATATAGTTGCAAGTATATACTGAGCACCCTGGTTCTCTTTTGGGTAGAATGAGGACAGCAGCAAGCCACATTTCCTATTCCTGGCCTAGCTTGTAAAGTCTTACAGGGTGACTTTTGAACACCACATCTGATTGGTTCCAAAAAGTACCTGAGTGCTTCACAAACAATAACTAGTTATTTTTCACAATACCCCTATGAAATAAGTTTTATCCCTTTTACAGATGGGGAGTTAAGGCAGAGAGAGATTAAGATCAAAAGTATGAACTAATTTTGGGTGACCAAATTTGAGAAACAGTGATCTTTTTTCAGAGTACTTAGCATTATTTTACACTTTATGTATTCAAGCACATCTCCCATTGCTAGTGACCACTTCTGAAAATTTGATTTAAGGAGCCACCCTGATTTCCAGTCTCAAAGTGTTTGAATCATATGATTCCATCCTTGAAAGCTATGAAGAAAGTCAGGCCTGTCAGTGGAGGGGTCCACTCGAGGGACAAAAACTAGAGTATGGCTTGCCCTGTAATTCTGGCAGTAGCCTTTCTTAAGTTTGTCAGATACTGACAGGTAAAGTCCTCTGACTTCTGAATATTTTGGTTATTTTCAAATTTTGTCCCTCAGAGACGAGCTCTAATACTGTTAGTCAGCAAGCACTTTACAAACGAGATCATCACAACATCCCTTTGAGGTAGATGATGTTCTGTCAATTTTGTGGATGGGGGAAAATGAGGCAGGGAAGGAGATCAAGCGATTTACCCAAAGCCATAGATGGAGAGAGAGTTAGCCAGGATTAAAACTCCAGAGTTGTTGGTTCCTAGTCTAGTGCTCAGCCCACAATCCTTTGACACTATTAACTTTGCTTTGTGTTCCAGTCTCCATTCTGCAGGAGCAGGCCTCGAGGCTGGGAGTACCAATGGGAATCTTGTCAGCCAATACCACTGCTACCAACATTGAACAGATTTGCAAAACTTCCATGGAGTCCAACCAAGTTGCACTGTTGAACTTGGAGCAGAGAGTAAGAGGAAAATCTTTTCTCTTATGCCCACAAAGATGAACATTGGGAGGGAAAAGGCATTGTTAATGGTTATTTTTATTTTTACACTTTAAGCTCACTCTGCCTGGCCTCCATAAACGTATATGTAGTCCCCAAACGATTTAAAAAAAAAAAAATACAAAACCAGTAATGGAATTAGATAGCTGATGGTTCATATCTGTATGTTGTAAAATCCTTAGAAATGGAGCATTCTTTTTCTAAACATGAAAGCTACTGAATTGACAGCCCTGGAAATGATGTCCTCTGTTTATCCATAGAGCTAGTACAGTGTGAGTAGTGGCTGTGCAAGCTTCTTGTATATGATTCTTCTTTAGTATGCCCCAGCCCTTCCCAAGAGGTTCATTTTATTGTGTCCATTGTTTAATTTTTAGCATCCCTGCTTGCAATTTTAGCAAATTATTGTGTTGGTTTGTGTGTGTGGACACCAGAAGCTGTACTGAGACCATTAACTCACTTCACCGAGGCCACTGAACAGCCATCAGGCCCTGGTGGTATAGGGTGACTCTTGCTTCTGATGCTTGAGTTCATGAATTCACATTGCTGTGCTGCCATCACTGGGTGAACAAAAATAGTTGGAAAGCTGTCCTGTGACAGTGATTACAGTCACTACTGACGTGGGGTGCATTTGAACTCATAACCCAAAGGTGAAAGGTTCACTGTCTCCTCGCCAATCGATCCCCTGAGCCATTCAGTCACTAAAATTCAACAAATAAGGAAAAACAGGAAAATATTTTTATAATTATATGCAATATTTACTGAGGGGACTTTTTCCATTCCAGAAGAAATTGTCTTGTTTGCTTCAAACTGTCAAGGATTTGTTGGTGCACAATGCCTTCTGTCGTTTGCTCTTCTGTCAAGAACTGTGGAAAAAGCAGGTAAGACCTCTGAAGAGAAATGCTGGTTCTGCAGACTGTAGGGACAGAACATTTAGATTATTTGAGTGGAACCAGTAGTGCATATTAAACTCTCTTGTTATGTATCCCCTGAAAGCAAGGGGTAACACTAAAATAGACTGCAGAAATCTAGTAATCTGATTTCCTCCTGTTAATGGCCGATAGCAGCATGCTCAGGAGCTTATTGGTCCTACTTTTTGAAGGATGGTGGCCATTTTGCATTTCCCCGGGTGTCACCACGGCCTTTTTGGCACTTTAAAAGCATAATTCTGTCTTAATGTGAAGGAGCATTGATTTTTCCATTTAAAATATTTTAAAACTAAAATCTATTAAAGCTGTGTGAATTAATCTAAAAAGGCCATACATTCAGGGAAAGGAAGCCAATAAGGCTACCCTTCCCCCCCCTAAATATTAATGGCTGTTTGATAGTGACTGCAACAGGTGAACAGGAGATGGCTTGCAAAGTAGGACAATATTTTAAAAAACTGTGAGCATTTCTAGCAAGGGAGGACAAACATTGGTAGCCTTCCTGGTAAAGAGTTTAACTAAAAGCAATAGAAAATTTTTGGTCATGCATCTTATATTCTTAATAATAGGTCTACCTGGGTGTTTGAAAGCACTTTACTTTCATTCTGCTTCACAGTGCCTCTGAAGCATGCTGATATCTGGAATAGTAAATGCTCCTTTTCATATGCTATTGATTGTTTAATAACTATTTGTATTATAGCTAGTGTGTTATGTGGTTTCCATTTTTTTAAGCCACCTGACTGGCTTCTGCATTCAACTCTTGCCATGAGAAAAGGGAGCATTAGCATTGGCCGACTGGCTTTTGGCATCAAAGAGTGGTAGTGAATGTAAGCTATTACCTGTCATTCTGCTTTTTATATGAATGCTAGTGTTTGTGAAAAATGCTAGATTGACAGCACTGGCTACTGAGATCTATTTTTCCACAAAAAATGTACAACACAGACAGCAGCTCTGCAAGTTTCAATCCTTCTCTGTAGGGAAGGGTAATTTACTCTTAATGTCTGTCTACCTTTGGGTTTTATATTGTCACTAGTGCTGTCAAGCGATTAAAAAAATTAATCACAATTAATCGCTCAATTAAACAATAATAGAATACCATTTAAATATTTTTGATGTTTTCTACATTTTCAAATGTATTGATTTCAATTACAACACAGAATACAAAGTGTACAATGCTCACTTTATTTTTTTACATGTATTTGCACTGTAAAAAACCTAAGAAATAGTATTTTTCAATTCACCTAATACAAAGTACTGTAATGCAATCTCTTTATCGTGGAAGTTGAACTTACAAATGTAGAATTATGTAAAAAAAAAAACAAAAAAACCTGCATTCAAAAATAAAACAATATTAAAATTTTAGATCCTGCAAGTCCACTCAGTCCTACTTCTTGTTCAGCCAATTGCTCAGACAAATAAGTTTGTTTACATTTGCAGGAGATAATGCTGCCCGCTTCTTGTTTACAATGTTACCTGAAAGCAAGAACAGGCATTCTCATGGCAGTGTTGTAGCCGATGTCACAAGATATTTACGTGCCAGATGAGCTAAAGATTCATATTTCCCTTCATGCCTCAACCACCATTCCAGGGGGCATGCGTCCGTGCTGATGACTGGTTCTGCTCAATAACAGTCCAAAGCAGCTTTCTTTTTTGGTGGTTTGGGTTTTGTAGTTTCCACATCAGAGTGTTGCTCTTTTAAGACTTCTGAGAGCATTTGCCACACCTCAGATTTTGGAAGGCACTTCAGATTCTTAAAACTTGGGTCGAGTGCTGTAGCTGTCAGAGGATGTTGTGAAGGCCAAAACCATAAACATAGGGTTAAAAAAAAGAACTAGATAAATTCATGGAGAATAGGTCCATCAATGGCTATTAGCCAGGAAGGGCAGGAATGGTGTCCCTAGCCTCTGTTTGAGTGACTGGGGATGAATCACTTGATGATTACCTGTTCTGTTCATTCCCTCTGGGGCACCTGGCACTGGCCACTGTTGGAAGACAGGATACTGGGCTAGATGGATCTTTGGTCTGACCCAGTAGGGCCGTTCTTATGTTCTATCTTTAGAAATCTCACATTGGTATCTTCTTTGTGTTTTGTCATTTCTGCAATGAAATTGTTCTTAAAATGAACAACATGTGCTGAGTTGTCATCTGAGACTGCAATAACATGAAATATATGGCAGAATGTGGGTAAAACAGAGCCGAGGACATACAATTCTCCCTCAAGGCATTCAATTACAAATTTAATTAACGCATTTTTTTTTTAACGAGTGTTATTAGCATGGAAGCTACATGGAAGCATGTAGCATAACAGCTACAAAAGTCCCATGCAAATGCCTGTTCTCACTTTCTGGTGACATTGTAAAGAAGAAGTGGGCAGCATTGTCTCCTGTAAATGTAAACAAACTTGTTTGTCTTAGCAATTGGCTGAACAAAAAGTAGGACTGAGTGGACTTGTAGGCTCTGAAGCTTTACATTGTTTTGTTTTTGAGTGCAGTTATGTAACAACAAAAATTCTAAATTTGTAAGTTGCAATTTCATGACAAAGAGATTGCACTGCAGTACTTGCATGAGGTGAATTGAAAAATAGTATTTCCTTTGTTTAATATTTACAGTATAAATATTTATAATAAAAAATATACACTTTGATTTAAATTATAACACAGAATATAATATATATGAAAATGTAGAAAAACATCCAAAATATTTAATAAATTTCAATTGGTATTCTATTGTTTAACAGTTTGATTTAAAACAGCGATTAATGGCGATTAATTTTTTTGAGTTAATTGCATGAGTTAACTGCGATTAATTGACAACCCTAGTTATTACCAATCCATTGAGGTGTCCATTGTTCCTTTAGAACGTAATCAGGATTATTCCAGGGATGTAAAGTGACCTGAATGATTTATCATTCTTAATTAACATTTCAAAAGTGGGTAGGAGAGAATAGGTCTATGGTAACTCTTTTTTTTTATTGGTATTTTATATATTACTGTTATGATGAGCTCAGATTTTTTCACACCCTTAATCTGACTAACAGTTTTTAATTTTCTTTTAATGTTTGCCCCTGGAAAGTTTGCTATTGTAAATGTTACCCACTATCATCTGACTGTAGCATTATTCCTCTTAGAATCCTCCCGTGTTGGAAGTTGTGTGGCACCTGCACAGAGGCAACATTGTTAGCTTGGGAGAGCTGCTGGAGAGGTAAGCAGAGGTTTATACGTTTGCAGATGTCTTTAGTCTCAAACATATAGAAATCTTATCTGGGATTAGTTGTTAATGTCTTTGCCTAAAATTTGCTTCAGAAGTTCTTGGCCATTAAAAAATAAAATTGGTCTAGAACAGGGATCTTACTGTGCATAAGCTGCACACTTCTGTCTTTACAAGGCAGAGTATTACAACAGAGTTATACCTTAGAGAATAAATTTACCTCTACGCTATAAATTGATATAGGACAGAAACCTTGATGATAGACTGAAGTTAGAAGTTAAGATATACTGGAATGATTGTGCTTTCTGATAGACTTTCAATAGGTCCCATTTTAGGAATCATGTAGCAAAAACTTTATCATCCTGAGAATTTACAGATTCAGTTCCTGTAGCAGTCAAGTGATTGAAACCCTGCGCAGCATCTTGCAAGTGTGTGCCACAGTGTTCTAATAAGTAAAATCAAGCAATCCTTCAGAGGATTCTCTCGTGCTATGTGCGGAGGTTGGAGATTTCTTGGCTCCCCTGATAATGATATTGCTTTCTTTTTCTGTTACTGATACTGGGTGGGATAATTGCATGCGTTGCCTATTTTAATTAGTTGAACTTGGTTGGTTTTTCAATGTGACCTGAAGAAATCATCCACAGGATGTTAGGTAGTTCCTTCGAGACAAAAAAGCTTTTTTCTTACTGTTCTTTATGGATATATTTTTATGGTGGAAATAAATAATTAATTTAACATGAGATTTCAAGATCGGTTCTCTTTCTGTGGGCACATTCATTCTGAAATATTTTATAAAGGAAATAGAGCTTTCAGTTGGCACAACTTTAAGAAATAAATACCAGACATGGAGTCAAGGCGTGGAAGCATCTGTCCTCTCCTGAATGTGAGTGAATGTTAGTTGGAGGAAAAATAAATATCACAATAAAGAGAGTGAAACAAATCAAACCTGCTTTTGTTGTCTTCTCAGCAATTCAGACACCCCTGCTGTGGTGGAGTGGCTATGCAGCAGCCTTTGTCTGCTTTGTAAGCAGACAGACAGTTCTTCCCTGGATGTGGAGCTTTCTGGGCACATACTCTCAGGTAACACTTTGAGTTTAGGCATTTAACACAGTGTGGTCTTAAGTACTTAAACTTTAGAATCTACAACAGATATAATTCAACTTAGAACTTTAGGTATATGAAAACACAGTCTTCAGCTTGTATTCTTTTGCTATCTGTTTTGATGAAGAGGGCTACATTTCTATACTGATAAGGGAATTTAAGAAAGTGAATTCTTTGACTGTTAACCTGGAACCATAATTTTCTCTTTCTTTATTCCTTCATAACTTTGTTTTAATAATTAAGAGAATGTCCATTCCACTACTGGCCATGATATCATTAGAGTTGTGGTGGCTAAAATCTCCTGTTCCTCTTTCTTCTATCCTGTCCCCACTATTCCATTTGTCTTTCATCGCTTCTAGCATGTAGTTTTGCACATAAATGTTTTATATTCTGTTACATTACATGTTAGTGACCTGAAGTTCATTTTTTTGACCAGCAAAGGGTTGTGGTGGTAGAGGTGTGTCACCAGCACTCATTTCCTGCATCCTGATCATGTCACCTCCATATAGTACCCATCATCCATTTGGCTATTTAAAAAAAAACAAAAAACACAAACCTAATACTAACCAGGATTCCATTTTATGTTTTCTCCTCTGCCCACCTTTTTGTCTAATTTTGTGCTTCTCTCCTGGTTCAGAAAAAGCTAATAGCTTGTTCGTTTTACTGAGGAGTACCAGTGAAATCTTTTGACCAGTGCACTTGGTCAGGTACTGCCAGGCAAACTGAGTTATCTGGTTGAAATTTCTGCATTTGCATTGTTCAAATACATGCATTCTTGAAAATTCAACATTCAGTCTGAGATTTTTGTCTGCACTGAGTGAATCTCTTCTAATAGTGGTGTGGGTTAATCCTCTTCCACAGATCTCCTCAGGCACAGTGGGATTTTTCTTCTGAGAAGGCTCACCTAGAGTGTAAAACTCTGAAGAGCCAATTATCTCTTCATGCATTTGAATCTGTAGCATAAGGAAAAGATAAATATTTTGTATAAAATGTGTAACAAACAACATATTGGCAGTCTGTTGTATTGATTGCATGACTCTGGAATATGTGAGTCAATGAACTGCCTATATATCTAAGTTCTTATATGGCCACTATCATTGAGGTATCTGAGCACCTCTGTGATATGTGATGCCTTTGGTTCTCCTGTATATGAAATAATTTTACCTCTAAAGAGATAGCAAGGTTGCCCAACACTAGGCTAACTTCGCTGTGTAATAAATGAAACTTTACCAGCAGTAACCCTTCTGGGAGACTGGATGTGTTCTTTCATTGTAGGTAAAAGAGAAGGCTGAAACAGTTGTTCGTTCTTGATTTTGCAGACTTTATGATTGTGTTTCTTCAGAATGGATTTCAGCAAACTTCAGATCCAGAAAAGAAGGTGGAATTCCAGAAAATCCCCCATGTAAGGGCAAAATGGTACTATTTATGCTTTTTTTTTTTTTTTTTTTTTTAAGCACCATTGATATACATGGTGATCTATAGCACACAGAATAAGACACAATCCGTGCTGGAAATTGCTTACAATTTAACATAGACAGGACAATAAGTCAGGAGAGCAATCAGAGAGGTAAACGGTGAGGAGACCAATGCAGAGGTGATTCTTTGAGAGTTTATCATAGACCTTCCAGAACTAATTTATGAAACTGGCTTTATTTCAAAATCAATATGCTTTGTAAAGATGATTTTTTTGGAATGATGAATTGTCACAGTAACTCTTTTCAGGGTCACCATTTTTTTTCTACATACAGATTTTGCTTGATTGCTCTGCTTTCTTTCCAATGTGCAATGCGAAATACTGTGAAGTAGTAGGAAAAAAACTGGGAAATTCTATATATTGTGTTTATACTACAAATAGTTGTATGTTAACAGTTAATCTTTAAATTAGGAATTTTAGGATAATTTAATTTTTGAGCCAATATACTTACTTACAGCCTCCTTAAATGCTAAATGGTCTTAATTTGTTTATTTTAAATAGATCTGTTATGCTGTACTGCAAAAAATGTTGACATGTAAGTATTAATTATTTATAATTTGGGGCTTTGTGCAATTTACTAGGAATGTACTTTGCTAGACATACCTCCATTCTTTCCTGGGAGATTTCCAAGGGCATTAAGGAGCTGTTTACTAGTGATGGATTTCCTCTGTTGTGTTGCATCATGTACATCACTAGTCATTTAAGATAACTCTGATGCACTTTCCCCCATGAGCTTCCTCTTGCATTGCAGATAACCCCTTGTTCTTTTATACTAGCTCTCTCTGACTAAGAACTTTGAATTTGCATGTTTTATACAAGTGTCTTGGTGCTAAATCATTGTGACACCATAACACAGCATTTTTAACTAGCAGAATAACTTTTTGTAAAATTTGAAATATCTTTATATAGTGATGTGTTTAATGAGAATGAGCCAAGAATGAAACTTTGTAATTTAAACTGCATGTGTAATCTTCAAATCCCTGAATTTTCCCATGAAATCCATTTTGTGTTGGGCAGTCCTGATGATGATGCTGAGTGGGCAAGAATAGTAATGCCTGGATTTTCATCACAAATCACAATGCAAAAAACACCAAACAGAAGTCCAAAGCTTTTCTGATCAGCAGCAGATGATCTTCCTCACCTGTTGTTGTGCTGTCCACGCAGCTCTCTCTCTGCAGGGTGAGCACTCAGTCATTGCCACTGATGCTTTATAGACCTTTATAGACCTAGAGACCAGTATATTGCCCTAATCCTCACATGTGGCTGTCATGCTGTTGACCACTTGTTCCTCTGGTTTCTCAATGGCAATATAATACAGCCCAGAACTGTATATAAACTGCAGGGTGTTCCACAAAAGGGAAATAATAAGGGCTTTAATACTAATTCTTAAATTTAGCTTGTTTAATTGACATCTGTGACACTGCTTGGCTCTTTACACTTCAGTAACTAATCAACTGCCTTAAAGCAGATTTAGATATTTTATATAAAATAACTTAATGATTTAACAAAGACCTTGGTCTGGGGGAGAAGTGTCAGCGTGAGAGAAGCAGTGGGAGCATTATGCTTTATATTAGGTATACAGTGATAGTGAGCTCCTGTGTCTGAAGATCAGAGTGGTTTTTCTCCTCTTCCCTCCCCTAGTCTCCTCTATTTAACATTAATTTATTCCTCTTTAGAAAGGGAGAGAATAAAGAGAGAAAATAGCAGGGTCTGGCAGATAAGGAACAAGTATGGGGCATTTGTGTGTCTCCTGCGTCCGAGTACATTTCCTTTTAAAAGTGGGTCACAAGAGGGAACCCCCAGTCTTAATCAAAGGGCTCTTCCCTTAAAGCTCAAGAGTTCTTTGATTTCCCTTCAGTAATTTTGAGACTTTCAAAGATGTGATGGAGCAAGAAACGGAAAAGCTGTTCTGTCTACCACATTCACTAGAGCAGTGGTTTTAAATCTTTTTCCATTTATGGACCCCCTAGAAAATTTCAGATGGAGGTGTGGACCTCTTTGGAGATCTTAGACATAGTCTACGGACCCCCAGGGGTCCGTAGACTACAGGTTGTAAACCACTGCGCTAGAGTAAAAGATCAGCATTTAGTCTGGTCAATGAGAACTGTAACTTGATGGGCCAAGACAGTACTGGGTATGAGTTGCCAGTGCACTTCGTTGTCTTCGTCAACAATTAATGCAGTAGGCCTAGTCTTCATTTGAGTGTTACTTAGGGCTTGGCTACACTTGCGAGTTACAGCACAATAAAGGAGCCCCAGGTGCCCTAGCTCACTAGCCGTCCACACTGGCAAGGCACGTAGAGTGCTCTGTCTCCGCAGCTACAGCACTGCTGGTACTCTACCTTGGCGAGTGGAATAATGTTTGCTGCGCCCCTGCTGGAACACCGTGGTACCAGTGTGGATTCCCTGGTCCTATAGTGCGCTCTGATCAGTCTCCAGAAGTGTCCCACAATGCCTGTGCTAGCCACTCTGGTCATCACTTTGAATTCTACTGCCCTGCCGTCAGGTGACCAACCGTCAGACCCGCCCTTTAAATTCTCTGGGAATTTTGAAAATCCCCTTCCTGTTTGCTCAGCCAGGTGTGGAGTGCTCTCAGCGAATCTTTCCAGGTGACCATGCCTCCACGCGCCAGGCGATCTCCAGTATGGAGCAATGGCAAGGGGCTGGACCTCATCAGTGTTTGGGGGGAGGAAGCTGTCCAGTCCCAGCTGCGCTCCAGCCACAGGAATTACGATGTCTTCAGGCAGATATCAAGGGCCATGGTGGAAAGGGGACGCACTGCAGTGCAGGGTTAAAGTGAAGGAGTTGTGGAATGCCTACCACAAAGCCCGAGAGACAAACAGCCTCTCCAGTGCTGCCCCTGCGACCTGCCGTTTTTACAAAGAGCTGGATGCAATACTTGGGGGCGACCCCACCTCCATGCTGAGTACCACCATGGACACCTGAGAGGCCAGTGCAACAAGGCAGGAGGAGAAGGAGCAGCAAAGCGGGAGCGAGGGTGCTCCGGCGGAGGAAGACACCCTAAAATCCGTAGATGCGTGCAGCCAGGAGCTGTTGTCAAGCCAGGAGGAAGGTAGCCAGTCGCGGTGGCCGGTGCTTGGGGAGGGACAAACACCAGAGGAGGTTCCCGGTAAGCAGCTTTTATTTTGGGAAGGAAGTTATTTGGTACAGGCTCTTGGGATGAGGAGGGTTAGGGCCGCATGCATGCCTAGATGCGGAATAGGGCGTTGGTGTGCTCTCTCACGTCGTGGTAATTGGCCTCGGTAATCTCTTCAAAGGTCTCAGCCAGAACTTGGGCAATATGCTTGCGCAGGTTTTTCAGGAAAGCCACTGTTGTCCTCGTCCCAGTAAAGCTAACTTGTCCGCGCCACTGTGCCGTGAGGGGCGGGGAGACCATTGCTGCACACAGGCATGCTGCATATGGGCCAGAGCGGAAGCCACATTGCAGTAGAAGACTCTCCCTTGCTTCCCTGGTCACCTTCAGCAGCGAGATATCTTCCAGGACGAACTCCTGTGGAAAATGTGGGGACAGTGTTCAGTATAGGGGCCCCCTGCCGCTGTTGGCTATCCCTAAGGCACAGAAACCCAGAGGACAGTGCAGCCGTGAAACAATCAGTCACGCTTGACCCCGTCTTACTCACCATTTTGGGGCTCCCTTGCTTTATGTGCGCTCGCTTTGGCACAGGCAAATTATGCTATTGTATAGACTGTGCTTGCCCTTGACTACGGGGGAATCATTGCTCTGTCTGGTGTGAACAATGCTGCCTCTGTTAAGTGTTGCATTTTACCTTTACAGATGCAACTTTGAGATCTCAGCCGTCCATGTTATCAACGGCCGAGAGGCTGCAAAGAATCAGAAAGAGGTCACATAGAAGCAAAGAGGACATGCTGCATGATTTCATGCAGCATTCAACTAATGAAAATAAAAAAGTGCAGGAGTGGCGGGAGAGTGAAAGGAGGGTCTGCCAGCAAAATGCGGATCGCCGGCACCAAAATACAGAGCGGGTGATAAGCATCATGGAGCGCCAAGCGGACTCGATCCAGGCTCTTGTAGTCAGGCAGGCGGAGCACTACTGTGCCCCCGCGCGTGCTCCCCTTTTTCCCCACTTCCCCCCGCAGCCCTTGTCCCAAACTCTTCTGCCACCATGTCGCCTCCAAACCACTTTCCCCAACATCCGAGTTCTTACCGCTACCCGTTGCCTCCAACACCTGTAGCTTTGCCACCCAGCCCTGAAAACTATGACCCTTACCCACTGCACTCAACCCCCATCACCATGCAGTGTAGCCATCCTGAAGTGCAGCATGCATTGCTCAGCACTCCAGATGGGACATATACAAATCCGTGATTGTAGTGTTCCCCACCCCCTTGCCCTTTGTGTTTCACAAGCAGTTGTGTTGTGTTTCTTTTCAATAAATTGATTTTTTGGCTTTGAAAACATTCTTTATTATTGCATAACATAAAAGAAACCTTAGCCCAGGAAAGCAACAGGCACTGCAAGTCAGTGTTTCATATGTAGCAAACACAGATTCCTACTGCGCTTCACTCCCGTGCAGGGCACCACATCAGACATTACTGTTGGCTTTCAGCCTCAAATTGCTCCTTCAAGCCATCCCTAATCCTTGCAGCCCCGCGCTGGGCCTCCCTAATAGCCCTGCTCTCTGGCTGTTCAAATTCAGCCTCCAGGTGTTGAACCTCCAAGTTCCATGCGTGAGTGAATCTTTCACCCTTCCCTTAACAATTGTTATGGAGGGTACAACACGCGGATAAAACCGCGGGGATGCTGTTATTGGCCAGGTCCAGTTTCCTACACAGAGAGCTCCAGCCACCCTTTAAACAGCCAAAAGCACACTCCACAGTCATTCTGCACTGGCTCAGCCTGTTGTTGAACCTCTCCTTGCTGCTGTCAAGGCTCCCTGTGTAGGGTTTCATGAGCCACGGCATCAAAGGGTAAGCGGGGTCTCCAAGGATCACAATGGGCATTTCGACTTCCCCTACGTTGAACTGCTGGTCTGGGGAAAAAAGTCCCAGCTTGCAGCTTCCTGAACAGGCCAGTGTTACAAAAGATGAGTGCATCATGCACCTTTCTGGGCCAGCCTGTGTTAATGTCAATGAAATGCCCATGATGATCCACAAGTGCCTGGAGAACCATAGAGAAATAGCCCTTCCGATTAATATACTTGGAGGCTAGGTGGGCTGGTGCCAGAATTGGAATATGCTTCCCATCTATCGCCCCTCCGCAGTTAGGGAAACCCATTTGTGCAAAGCCAGCCACAATGTCATGCACATTACCCAGAGTCACGGTTCTTCTGAGCAGGATGTGATTAATGGCCCTGCAAACTTGCATCAACCTGATTCCAACGGTTGACTTCCCCACTCCAAACTGGTTAGCGACCGATCGGTAGCTGTTTGGAGTTGCCAGCTTCCAGATTGCAATAGCCACCTGCTTCTCCCCCGTCAGGGCAGCTCTCAATCTCGTGTCCTTGTGCCGCAGGATGGGGGCGAGCTCCTCACACAGTCCCATGAAAGTGGCTTTTCTCATCCAAAAGTTCGGCAGTCACTTCTCGTCATCCCAGACTTGCATGACGATGTGATCCCACCACTGTGCTTGTTTCCCAAGCCCAAAAGCGGCATTCCATGGTGGTGAGCATGTCTGTGAATGCCACAAGCAAACTCATGTCGTTTACATTACTCGAGTCGATATTGTCGTCGGAGTCCTCACTGTCACTTTGGATCTTAAGGAATAACTCAACTGCCAAATGTGATGCGCTGGCGAGACTCATCAGCATACTCAGCAGTTCGGGCTCCGTTCCTGCAGATTGAAAGGGAAGACAGAACGCACAGTACAAAAACCATTGAAAGATGGCACCAAATGTGGATGGAAGCAAAGGGAATGCTGGGATGTGAACTGATGCATCACGGGGCGTTGGGACAAGTCACAGCTCCAGAATGGGAAGAGGTGCTCTGTGGGATAGCTGCCCACAATGCACTGCTCCCAGTGCCGCTGCAAGTGCCGCAAATGTGGCCACGCCAGTGTGCTTGCAGCTGTCAGTGTGGACAGACTGCTGTGCTTTTCCTACTGTGCTGTACGAAGGCAGGTTTAACTCACGGCGCTCTACATCTGCAAGTGTAGCCATGCTCTGAGTAGATATAACATGGGAAAACCCCAGAGTTGGGACTGACAGGGGGGAATTAACAAGCAGAATTCTGCTTTCTCTTTAGTACAGTGAGGAGAATCAGTCATCCACTAAAGAATAAGTGAATATATGATCTTCTAGCATAAACTACCTTCCTCCATGCAGAATCCTATTGTCTTTAGTGGGACTCCAAACAGGTGCAAGGATCTTAACTAGCACATCAAACTTCAGAATCTAGGGCACTAGGGTTTGGAAATTAAATTTTCATTTATGTACATCTTTAAATGGTTTAATTTCTAGTGCATGCTGGGGAGCCTTTTAAAATGGTTCAAGGTTAGTATTAGTAGCTTCTAAGCCTTTGTGTTACTTAGAGAAATTTTCATAAGAACCAAGCACTGATGAATGGTTTCTGCTGCCCATTTCCCTAATGGGGTCACCTCCTTAAACGGTGCACATGTTGCTTGTTGAAAAAAGAACAGGAGTACTTGTGGCACCTTAGAGACTAACAAATTTATTTGAGCATAAGCTTTTGTGGGCTACAGCCCACTTCATTGGATGCATAGAATGGAACATATAGGAAGAAGATATATAACCTACAGAGAACATGAAAAGGTGGAGTAAGAGGCTAATTAATTAAGAATTAGCCTCTTACTCCACCTTGTTATCTTCTTCCTATATGTTCCATTCTATGCAGCCGACGAAGTGGGCTGTAGCCCATGAAAGCTTATGCTCTAATAAATTTGTTAGTCTCTAAGGTGCCACAAGTACTCCTGGATTTTTTGCAGATACAAATTAACATGGCTGCTACTCTGAAACATGTTGCTTGTTCTAATTAGTTCTTCCTTGTTTAATGACGGTGTTTTTTTCCATCTTTCTTTCTCTTCCTTTGACTATTTGTGCTTTTTTGTTTTTTGTTTTTATTTTGGGGGATCAGGGGTACTTGATGCTGTTGCTAATGAAAAACAGGAAGATTCTTCTAAATTACAGGCTGTGAAATGCTGGTAAGAAATCTCCTCCTGTGAGTATTGTCTGTTTTTCCCACTATTGCATGTCTGTTTTCTGTAGACATAAAAATTATAAAATGAGTATATTTTAACCTGTTTACAAATAATTTAAAAGTATGGCTACTTATTTTTGGCATTCCCCTCCCTCATCAAATATATGTATGCAAACACTATAGACGATATCTGCAGAAAATAAATGTAAGTGTAGTAAAGTATATTTTGGCAATATAGGTGCCACTTCTGAATTGTATGATATCCCCACAAGGCATTCTGTGACTTTCCTGGCAGTTATTCCTACCCTAGTTCTCGTCTTCCTGTCCCCTGCAGCTTCCATCAGTTCAGATCTCCTCCCGAATTTCCTGCGTCCAGACACCCTTAGTCCTGCTTTGATCCTATTCCCAATTAGCATTCCTGCTATGCATCTTTCAGTCTTCAGTGCCAGCCTGTGTTGTTGTGTAAAGCTGATAGTTTGAGCAGAATACACAGTAACCTCTTTTTGTATGTATTATAAAAACTGTCAAAGTTTTCTTCATTTTGGCAGTTTGACTGGTGAAAACAAATTTAAAGGGAAAAATAGTAATGAACTGTACTCCATATATCGTGGATCGTGGCTCCCGTTTATTGTTCCTGAACAGTTCTTCTGTTGTTTTTCATTTGTAGGCTGAACATATTCACTGTGACAATGTACAAAAGCACCAACTTTCCAGAGTCTTTGCAACAGTTCTTCATTCACACCCTGACTGAGATTCTTACCTATAATCCTTTGTTGAAAGGTAGGAATCAAGGAAGGAAAGGCTAGCTCTTCATGCTGTAGCTAGTGCATCCATCCTTGGCTGTAATGTGATACAGTTATAGGAAAAAATTGAGTTCTAAGTGTACAATAGACTCATCGTCGCCCACCTCCCCTGGGCTTGATGTCACTTTTTTGTGTGTGTGGTTTATTTTCTATTGGCTTACATCAAATGTTAAGGCAGGAAGGCTGCTGGTCTTTGGTGCCTACTCTAAAGCATGACTTGTCCAGGAAGAAATACATTTGGACTGCAAAGCACATGGAAAATAGCCCCATTGAACTGTGGTGTGGCACTGCTTACCTGCTAATTGGGAGAAGTTTACATATAGTACTAAATGCAGGCTGTCTGTTAAAGTGTGAGGAAAGGTGGTGAATCACTGTCTGAAATATATCTGGATGCCTGATTTCAGGGAGGTTTCATGTTTTTATTCCTGATCTAACTACTGGTAATAATAAAACTTGTTTTCTTTCCTGTGGACGCAGCATCTGATGCCATACATATGCAGAGAGAATGGAGTTTTGCAAGAATCTGCCCACTGCTTACTACCTTGTATCGCAAAGTATGTCTGTCTCCCAAGATTTGCAAAGAGAATATTGTTTATATTTTTGCAGATCTTCAATTTCTGAAAACTTTCACTGCTTGATGTATTAAAATTGGTTTAAGAATATATTTACTCCAGTTCGTATACTTATTTTTCTTGTTGAAATGCTAATAATATACTTTAGATTGAGATGGGACTTCTCAAGAACAGTGTATTTCAGTCACAAAATCTGAGTCACCTAATAGAGGTAGGCAACGGTGTGGTGGAAAGAAAACATAGTCGTAAGATTTTGTTTGTTCTGATTTAATTTTGTACAACTATGTGTGGATAAAGGAGGGAAAATGAAAGTAAAAGCACTCATTTAACAATAACAGTAACTAAAAATAAATAAATAAAGTAAGTGCTGGGCACAGGGCACTTGGGTTGTTTGGTTTTGTTTAAAGGACTTGACCTTGCTCCCACTGAAGTAAATGGGAGAATTGCTGTTTGTTGTAGCAGGAATAGGGTCAAAAAGGGCTAGGGGTCTGGGAAGCTGGTGCGTTGGACAGGTAGCTTTGTCTGAAAATAAGGCAGAAGGGAATTATCTTATTAATGAAGTCAGGAGTGTCCTGTGAGAAGAGAATCTGAATGGGTTTCACTTTAGTGCCTGGTTAGAATGCATAGCTAAAGAGATTCACTATTCCTGTCTTCCAGCTGTTTGTGGCATTCAGTGCAGAGAAGTTGATGTGTCATTTGCAGCAGATTCTGGAGACTCATGAGGTGAATTGGCAGCATGTGCTGTCCTGCTTTTCTACATTGGTAGTCTGCCAGACTGAAGCAGAGCAGCTGGTTAAAGGTACAGAGGGCTGAGAAACTTGGTAGGGAACCTGTGTGCATTGCTGTGTCTGGATTTCCAAATGCTGAACAGTCAGCCATTATAATATTAAATTTATAATCACTGCTTTTAGATGGCTTCAGACATTGTATAATTGTCTGCTGTGTTTATAAGGTAATAAACAATTCAGGAGCTATGCTTTTCCTGTTAAATACTCCAAGTTTCACCTTGATGCACGTGCTACATGCTATGACTTTCCCATTTCTCAAATTTTAAATTCAGCTCGCTGTGGTTATGTGATAACCATCTTAATTGCTAACGTGGTTGGCAGGGTGTTCCAGAGTCTGACTTCTGCCTTCACGTGTGCATTTGCAATGTGATACTAGTAGGTAAACTCCATTTTTCTGCAGTTTTTTGCTGCAGTTTCCACGGTATGCATCTGATGAAGTGAGCTGTAGCTCACGAAAGCTCATGCTCAAATAAATTGGTTAGTCTCTAAGGTGCCACAAGTACTCCTTTTCTTTTTCCATTTTTCTGAGTTTCCTATTGTGCATTCAGTTGCTGTATTCTGTGCAGTGCTTGGAGCCCTGTAGAGTCTAAAGGATTTGTTGAATAGCAAAAGTGCCTTTTTATTATATATGAAAAGATGTTAAGATAGAGTCCCAAAGCCTCTCCCAAATTTGAATCTGTAGTGTAGTATTATGTGCTGCCCCTTGTCCCTGTTTCCCAGACCTCTTTTTTTTCACAGATAATTGGCTGCATTTATTGTAGTAATATTCCAACACAGTTGCCAAAATTCCATTAAGTTTTTACCACAGATATTTAGTGTTTTGGGCCTATTGTTATACCTTTTCTAGACCTACTGAGCAGTCTGCTGATAAAAGCCTTTGAGAATTACGATATGGAAAACATGATCACTGCATTCTTGATAGCTCGTCAGGCTGCCCTTGAGGGTCCTGCTGTGTTCATGCCTTATGCTGAATGGTTTAAGGTAAGACTAAATAAGGATTAACTGGGAATGTTATTCCTTAACTGAAGAGGAAGTGTGTACAAGGGAGACAGTTGGAAAGAATGAATTGATATAAACCTGTACAAGAAGATCTTAATTTTAGTCAGTCAGCCTGGAGTAGAAATAGAGCAACAATTGATGATACTGTATATTATTAGTCTTAAATATTGCCTTTGTATTTACAAATAAATTGCTTTTTTAATCAGTCTAGCTTTCTCTGCTCTTTCCTTCCTCCCTCCCTAACTCCTCGTTGGCTTCTCCATTTATTGGTCAGAAATGTCTCTCCTTGCACAACATTTGTTACGATCATAATTGAAATCATCATTAACACAAGTTGTAGGCTAGAGAAATGCATGTGTAAGGTACTCATGTTTACGAAAAATGTGTGTGCAGTTTTTGTAATTGCATGTGTTGATCAGTTAGGATAATTGATCATTTGCTTTTACAGTTGTTGTAAATGTGTATGTAATTTACGCATACAAATTCTCATGCATTTTTGTACATGTAAATTGTCTTGAAAGGTCTGAAAATATGTCCTGAAGCTTTTGATGGTGAAATATTTAGGATTTATTGAAAAGTGAAATGATTCTTTGTTTTGTGTGATCTTAATAAATCAATATATTATCCCTGTAATGCTTAACTGTATCAGAACAAAGATATATTTCCCCTGTGTAGAAACCGGTGCATTTGCTGTTGCAAATCCTTCAGTATATCACCTCATTTAACTATCTATAAATGTTCTCTTGAGAGAGCATTAAACCAAACTTTGATATTTACTGTGGTAGATTTTCCGGCAGATTGATTTATTTTTTTTATAAATAGTATCCTTTGAATAACTTTTTGCAGAAACACTATCTGGGCAGATAAGATTTGTAGGGTATTTGGGATTTCTGCACTAAGTGTAGCAGGGTGCAACGGTAGTAATTTTATCAAGCCTGAAAGACAATATTTGCATTTTCCCCCTTTCAGGTTTCCTTTGGCAATGCCAGTGGTTACCATGGTAGCAGTAAGAAGGCTTTGGTCTTTCTCTTCGAGTTCCTATCAGAATTGGTTCCCTTTGAAGCACCCCAATATCTGAAGGTGAGAAGCTTCTTATGGAGATCATTTTCTTGTGGGGCTGTTAGGGGTCTGTTCCAAACTGCTTCAGCTTATCAGACTAAGGTCACATGGCCCTTGACCGGGCCAGATTATTATTATAACTTTCAATATGTACCTGAGAAGCAGGACCAAGTTTTCTCTGTAAAATAAATTAGCAGAGGGTTCTTTTAATGCTTTGACACAATGAAGAAAGAGTACCTTGGGACTAAATTAAAATTCATGGCAATTTTTTATGTGGAAAGATTTCCTTTGCCATGTAACTGGCTTTTCTGTGAGCTCTTAAGCAGGCAACAGTGCCTTGTCATTGTCTAGCTTCAGAGCTCCCAGGAATCTGTAAGGAGATGTATCAGAAGCTGGCTTTTGTATGCTGTCAAAATAATAAACCATTGCTTTGAATTTTACTCTTTAGGTCCATATCATGCATCCACCTTTCGTACCAACAAAATACCGTCCCTTTCTCTTGGAATATATCACTCTGGCCAAAACCCGATTGGCTGATCTCAAGGTTGGTGAAAAACATTCTCCTCCACCTGAAAAATCCTTTTCCATCAGAATATCAGTTGCTCTGTGACATTTTCCTTTTTCTTGTGACTTACAGGTTGCTATCGAAGACATGGGGCTCTATGAGGATTTATCTTCAACAAAGGAAGCTGTGCAGGTACTGGAGGATTTTCCAGGATGACTTCCAGTAAATTATACTTTTTGTTACTGTGGTAACACTTCTCAGTACAAAATTACACAGCATTATTGGCTACATGCAAAACTATGCAAAATATCAGCTCAGTAAATAATTAATTATTTTTAATTTTGTATAGCATCTGTTTGTTGTAGAATCTACATGACTCTCACATTTAAGGGGAATAATCCATGGTGGGAGAGAGTTGTCTACAGACTGCAGTTTTATACTGTTTTGTTTAAGATATATTTTGAATAATACTAATCAAAAAGGGAATATTTGGCTTGATCCTTTTGAGTCACACTTTATTCTATATTTTCTGTATTTTGATTAGTTAGTAATGCAATAGGATATACTGATGGAATGTGGAAATAAGTAAAAAACTGAATATATTTTAAAGTGCATGAAATAGGGCTCTTGTCAGTGGTGCAGCAGCTGAGTACATTGGTGGTTTGTCTTAGGAGGATCAAATTCTATTTAAGTCCCTAGTGAAAGGGTCATCTAGTTTCTTCCTCATCTGCATTAGATATGTTTGCACACTGGGAGATTGCCACAAGTTGTTGCAACTTCATGTGATTAGCAGCCTGCTTGAGAGACGCCTAGATTGCCGTACCCTGCATTCTGTTTAGTTCTAGCCAATGCAATTAAGTGAAAGGTTATGAGCACTGAATTCAACCCCAAAAGCCAAAGCACATGAAATACAGAAGATAGAGCAGCCTTATCAGTATTCTTGCACTGTTACTCTCCATACCAGCCTATTTCAGTTATGTAGTTGCACCCTTTGTCTCTGTGCTGTAAAAATAAGACCACCATTACTAAGCATGAAAGAAAAGGCAAGAATGATTTACTCTGTTATGCTAAAGACTTTACTATGCTGTTCCCTCCTTGTCACCTGCATGAGCCAGCCCCAGAGCCAGGCACTTGAAGATGTTGAAAAGGCCATTCGGATATTTGAAAATACAGGGAAGATCCCAACAAGTGTGATGGAGGCCAGGTATGGTATCTTTGTAGAAGTTTCTCAAAAGATTCTGTTTCAAGAGCACATCAAAGAAAAAATAAGAGAAAAGTTTAGGATGGAAGCAAAGAAGCACTTAAGAAAATCTTGCTAATTTATCCAGTGCTACAGTAATCATCTAAGCTCAGGCTATTTGTGCAGATGATACTCAGAGGATAAAAAGGCCATGTGCACACAGAAGGGAAGGCACTAGTTCCGTTATAAAGCCATCTTTTGAGGATGTTTAAAAATCAAGAAACCAATGTCTATAAGAATGCACTGTGTGAAAAACCCAGTGTTTCATGCTGTGAACTAACTGGGAATTTGGACTCTATCCTCTGAGAAGCTAACAGGAAGGAAACCCCACAGTAAGAATAGTTAACCTGGGTATGGTATTTCTCCATTTTAAATTGCTGAGTTTTTATGGTTAATAAAGTTTGTTCTGGTTTTTAACTGAAGGAACTATACTCAAATATTCTTATTTGTGTAGCAAGCAGAAATCACTCCTAAGATATTAACGAAATTGCCCTCTGTATTTAGTTGCTAATCTTTTCCCCTTCTGTTTCAGTATTTTCAGAAGACCCTATTATACTTCCCACTTTATTCCTGCTTTACTCATGCCACGTGTGGTTAGTATTTTTCTTATCCTTTCATTTGGAAACATATTTATGGGTAGTAAATGCATTTCTGACTTGGCTGCTTTTTGTTACAGCTCCCTGAAATTCCAGACTCACGCATCGTTTTTATAGACTCCTTAAAGAGGTATGAAAATAAAGCACATGAGGCAAAGGGAGTTTCTGATTTTCTGGACTATGTGTTAGGAATGTTTGACTACAGAATCAGGTTATCTGAGGTTCATGCACTGACACCTTGTTTGCAAAATGGTACCTACTAGCTAACCTCATGGATAGGATTTCTCCCCCTCTGAGACACCTGGTTTCAGCTGGCAGGTACAGTGCCTTGCTGCTGGGGATGGGTTTGCTGCCATGGCAATACTTCAAGATCTGCCTTTGTTTTGTCAGGATAGTGTCTAAGGAGGACATATTCCATGTTAAGGACTCAATCATTCCTGAATATTGACTGTTTGATATTTTCTTGCCCAGTGGGAATAAACTTGTTTTAAAACTAGTAACTTTTCTGTAGCTGACTTTAACACAAACATTTCTATATGAATGCCTCATTTGTAGGCATTCAATTGTGTCTCTTAATTCCAAACTATATCTAAGACTTAGGGCTTGTCTATATGGTGAGATAATGCACTGTATGAGGGTGTGATTTCTAAAGTGCACTAACCTATTGAGTATTAATTGGTCCTTATAGACCCTGCTGGTATTCTTTAATATAGTGCTGTCTGAAACAGTACTACGTTAAAGTGCACTAGGGAACGCTTAGTGTGCACCAGCAGGGTGTACACGGACCAACTAAAGCACGTTAGTACGCTTTAGAAATCACACCCGCATAGAGCATATTACCCCACCATGTAACAAGCTCCTAGCTGCATGTTACAACTTAAACTGATATAATTGATCTAATCCTGCTATAAACACTGTAATGAACATTTAGTATTGTTTACCTGCCTATCAACTGTTTGGAGGTCATACAATCTTTGATCTCAGTCTTGTCCTGCACTTGAGATGAGTGCATGCTCTGTCCCATAACTGCACTCCCTTTTGTGCACTCTTGCCCCCACATATTATATAATACTGCTAATCTCTAGTGTGCAACTATCTTGACCTTATGCCAGATCATAAAAATGTTGTCAAGTGCAGTGTCTGCTTTAGTGTTACTAGTCTATGGGGGAAAATTCTTGTATGAAATATAGTTATGCACTTACTTTAATGAGTCTGAATTCTGTGGTTAAATGGTGTAAATGGAAAAAAAAACTTTCTCTTACTGCAGAGCTGACAAAATTCCACCAAACTTGTACTCCAGATATGTCCAAGCTTGTCATTCTTTGAAAGAGAAACACTTACAAGGTGAGAAATATAGGTATTTACTAAAGCATTAGTTTGTTAGAGCAATGAACCAAGATTAAACATCTGTTTTCACTGATGTCCTTTTAGATAGGAATTTTTCCAAGCATTACAAATCAGATTCTTTCCCTATGTATAGACAACAGTGATTGGAGTTTTATTAATACATAAAGCAAAATATATTGTAGTTTGATTCTGAATTTTATTAGGGTGGTGTTTGTATTAAATATATTTGCTTGGCTACCTACCATCCAGGGTGATGGGTGTAATAAAAATGTGTAGATAAATAAATGAGTGATCTTTGCTTTTCTTTAAGACTTTATTGGCCTCTGGATTTCCTCCTCCCCAGCTTCTCTAGTAGTCAGGTGTGTACATATAATTCTGGTGAGAATTTTGCTGGTTATTGACAACAAGGAGATGCCCTGACAGTTGTTGCAGGATTGTCTGTTACCTTTCTGTTTGTACAAGTGGACGATGGATGCAACCTTGTACTCCTGGGGGATAGTTCCTTGAGTCCACATTGACTGGAAAAATTCAGTCAGTTTCAGAGCCAATTGCAAGCCTCTGGCTTTATAGACTTCTGGTATAGCATCTACTCCAGGTACTTTACCATTTGACAGCAGGTCCATCACTTTTGCAGTTTCAGTGAGCGTTGGGGGATCAGCAAGAGATATGTTCATATCAATCTGGGGCAGTTGATCAATTGTCTCCTTGCTAATAGATGCTTGATATGTTGTTAAACTGTTCTGCCCACCTTTACTGTATCTTTTCTTTGTCAGTGAGCAGTGTGGTACCATCAGCACTCAGTATTGGAAATGTTCCTGATGATTATGGCCCATAGATTGTCCTTAGAGCATCATAGAAATTCTTCATACCATTGCTGTTAGCATAAGACTGACTCTCATCTGCCTGGCTGCTCAGTCATCAGTTTTGCGTCTCTCTAAGTTTGCGTTGGACAATCCTCTTGAAGTTGTTGAAGACTGCCTTGTTAGACGTTGAAATGCTGTCTCCTAAACAGGCCTTATGGAGCCGATATTTCTCATTCAGTAGTCTCCCTTTGTCAGTATTGTTTTCATCAAACCAATCTTGATGTTTATGTGTGATGGAACTGTGGCTATTTGATGCATCTGAGTACATGATGCCGAATTTTCCTTGATGTTGTTAGTTTGCATCAATTGTTACAAGTTGCGCAGTTCTTCAGCAAAGGCCTGTTTCACATTCTCCTGTTTTAATTTGGAGACATTAAGCTTTTCGGGTGCTTTCTTTTACCTTGTGGTCTTCCACTAGGATGTATCTGGATATTCAGCTTGAAGACTATAAGCCTTTGATCAGTCCAGCATTCTGCATTTGTCATGGCCTTTGTCACGCTAACATCCTATCTATCTCTTCTCCTGATGATGACATAGTTAATATGATGCCAGTGCTTGAAGCTCAGATGCATCCAAGACCTCTTGTCACAGTTTGACAGGTGGAAGACTGTGTTGGTGATGTCTTTTTTTGTGTGATTTTTTTCGACTGCTGTAGCAGGATCCCCATCAGGTGCAGTACTCTGACCAGGGTTAAGGTGAAGCAGAAAATGTTTAGGCCACCTGCTGAATCGCCTTATGCAACACATTGGATAAGTTTCAGAGTAACAGCCGTGTTAGTCTGTATTCGCAAAACGAAAAGGAGTACTTGTGGCACCTTAGAGACTAACCAATTTATTTGAGCATAAGCTTTTGTGAGCTACAGCTCACTTCATCCGATGAGGACTCCTGCCTGAGAGACAGTGTGGCTTCAGGAAAGGATGCAGGATCATAGACATGGTGTTTGCAGCTTGTCAACTTCAAGAGAAATACCAGGAACAGAACTCCAACCTGTATATGACTTTCATTGACCTGAAAAAAGCATTTATTATAATCAGTTGGGAGGGCCTTTGGAAGATCATGGCAAAATTCATTTGCCCAGAGAAATTCATCACAATGGTTCGGCAATTCCATGAGGGCATGGTCCCTTGTGTTATGGATGATGAGTCATCTGAACATTCCCAGTCATCAATGGAGTCAAGCAGGGCTGTGTGTTGACCCCAGTCCTCTTCAGTATGAGGTTTTCTGCCATGCTTACAGATGCCTTTTGTGACTGTGACACTGGGATTGGCATCAGATACCGGACTGATGGCAAATTTTCAATCTGAGGAGGCTACAGATAAAGACACAGGTACAGGAAGTGACAATTCATGATCTTCTGTTTGCTGATGACTGTTCTCTGAATGCCGAATCTGATTCTGACATGCAGCGGAGTATAAACTGTTTCTCTTCAGCTTGTGATAATTTTGGTCTCTCAATCAACCTCAAGAAAACAGAAATGATGTACCAGCCTGTGCGAGGAAAACCTTACTATCACAGTGAATGGCGAAACCCTTCAGGCAGTGAACAAGTTCACCTATCTCAGCAGGACACTGTCATGTGCAATTCACAGCAATGATTAAAACCAATGCCAGAATTGCCAAAGCAAGTGTTGGCCTTTGGCAGACTACATGCAAATGTGCGGGAGCGCAGAGGCATTAGTCAACAAACAAAACTGAAGTCTACTAAGCCATTATGTTGCCAACTATGATCTATGCATGCAAAATGTGGACAGTGTACAAACGCCATGTTATGAAGCTGACTCACTTTCACGTGGGCTGTCTGAGGAAACCAATGAGGATAAGATGGCAAGACCAGGCTCCAGATATTGAGATTCTCATATGGGCAGGTATTCCAAGCATCCATTCTCCTTGATGAAATCACAGATGAGATGGGCATGCCATGTCACCAGAATGTCAGATGAACAACTGCCAAAGATCTTTTAGGGTGAGCTAAAGTAGGGAAAGCACACTCAGGGAGGCCAACAGAAATGTTTCAAAGACTCAACATTTTGACATTGACCCAGATATTTGAGAAGATCTTGCCCATGATCATTCTACCTGGCGAAGTCTCATCCATACTGGAGCTACAGTCTGTGAGCAGAGGAGAACCACTGAGGCACAGCAGAAGCACCAGCAGTGTAAATCTCACAAGAGCAGTATGTCCACTGTTAGCAAGAGATGCCACTATGGGTTACTTGATTAAGTGTGCCACAGAGAGTTCAAAGCTCAAATTGGCCTGATCAGCTACTCATGTGTTCGCAGAAACCAAACCAATCAGTGATGTCTTGTTTCAGAGGAACAGCCGTGTTAGTCTGTATTCGCAAAAAGAAAAGGAGTACTTGTGGCACCTTAGAGACTAACCAATTTATTTGAGCATGAGCTTTCGTGAGCCACAGCTCACTTCATCAGATGTGTACCGTGGAAACTGCAGCAGACTTTATATACACACAGAGAATATGAAACAATACCTCCTCCCACCCCACTGTCCTGCTGGTAATAGCTTATCTAAAGTGATCAACAGGTGGGCCATTTCCAGCACAAATCCAGGTTTTCTCACCCTCCACCCCCCCACACAAATTCACTCTCCTGCTGGTGCTAGCTTGGTCATCTTCAAACTTGAAGGATGAACAACAACAAGAACACAATGGCACATATCGCTCTTTAGAGTAGTGGTCATTTGGATATCACGTTTTAAAAATCTGGTGGCTGTCAATTTGCAAATGGAAGAGTCTGCAGAGAGGTATATGTATTGTTACAGTTTCTACTGCAAATCATTTTCTGTCAAGAGAAAAAAATTTCCCATCTAAATTTAAACTTTATCAGCTGTCTTTGTGGTGATAGACTGCAGTTCCATGTTGCGGAGCCTCAAGAAAGCAACTATATTAAGTGTCTTTTTGGCTGAACTTGGTAATTTTATTGCTATAGGAATGATCTAAACTCAGCCAGGTATTGGCTCTTGGAATGTGAGAGCATAGGACCGTCTACAGTGAATGAAGCGCACTTGTGGCAGACAGAGTCAGTTGCTACAATGGCAATTCCAAAACTATGTCTAATTGCTAGGTCATATTTAGCAAGCAGGTAGTTGGATTTCTGCTACCCTTTGGGGGGCAGGGAGACAAGACCCATGTTCTGTACAGGAGCAGGAATTGAGGTTAAGGAGCTGAGGTAGAGATATTTTATTGGATTTCTGTACCTTCTTACTCTTGCCACCATTTTTAATTCCTTGCCAAATCTATATATGAATACTTGCTGTGATTGAGAACGTGACTTCTAAAAAGCCATCTATGTGGTTCTGTTAAAATCATTACCATAGTGTCTTCATCTCTTCTTCTTCAGAGACTAAGTGCTCTCAGCCCTGAGTAACATAGTCCTCACTAGTCTGCAGAGTGAGAACCTAAGTCCTGATCTTCTGCATGACAGTACTTCATCCAGGCTTTGTTGTGGTCCTGCCTTTCAAAGGACGGGATAAAGTGCATGCCCAAAGAGAAGGGGATGAGAAATAGATCTGAAAATGTAACAATTACAGTTGCCAATCCACACCTGTTTGAGGTGGGTTTAATTTAAGATCCCATCACAGCCATCATGTTGGTGCTATTGTAAATTTTTGAACGGACTCTTTTATGTATTCTCTGTTAGCAAATGGATTTTCAAAACACTAACATTTTAAAATTGGCAATATCTTCAAATACAAGGAAGTTTATTTCAAAATCATGAAGTAACGCAGGTCAGACTAGCACGGGGACTGGCAACTTTTGGTCAACACATCCCTGGGCCCACACCGCTTCTCACAGCCCCCATTGACCTGGAATGGCAAACCCGGCCAATGGGAGCTGCGATCAGCCAAACGTGTGGACGCTGCAGGTAAACAAACCGTCCTGGCCCGCCAGCAGATTTCCTTTGGCACGCGGCCAGTCAGGGTTGTCAATCTCGGGACTAGCTAATATGAAACAGGAATATTTTACAAGTGTGCTCAAAAGTTTGTACACAGAAAATAACTCCTGCTAAAACCACTTCAAACATGAAAAAAGTCTCACAAAGAAGCAGTAGCTATATAGGGAGGTTTCAACCCCTTTTGCGTAACATGAAGACACAGATGCTGTTAAATTCCTGATATTCA